CCTCTCTGTATACAACCTGTATACCTATAATTATTTCAAAATAAAGTTTTTTCAATGGGAAATCGTTCTAGATAAAAAGATGCTAAAGACATACTCAGTGACAATCTACTTTGATTGAATTATAATTTTTTAAAATTCAAAAGTTTAGGAAGTTTGGGGAAATTTTAATATAGTGAGTGTATTTGATAGTATTAGATAAAATTTTTGTTAGTTTTCTTCAGTGTAATAGTAATGTTGTGATTATGTAAAGTCAAGTCTTTGTTCCTAAAAGATGTGCATTGAAGTATTTAGGCTTGAAATATATTGGAGTTAACTTTTAAATGGTTCAGGGAGAAAGACAGTGAGAGAGAAATAAATACAACAAAACATAGAGTCAATTGTTGACTCCTTGAGGAAGCTATGAGGGTGTTTACCATTTTTTCAATTATTTGGAGTTTGTATAGATTTTCAATTTTTAAAAGTTGGAGGGATGGATGGATGGATAGATATGTGAAAAAGCAAATATGCTCAAATGTTAATTGTGAAATTTAGGTGGTGGGTAATTGGGTATTCATTATAAACTTATTTCAATTTTTCTTTATGCCTGATACTGTTCAAATTAAAATATTGGAAGGTGGACAGCTGAGGCAACATATTGAAACCCAATGCCCTTCCCAGAACTCCTAATCCTTCCAGACCCAGTTAAACCCATACTTACAATAATTAAAACATCATTTGCCTTGGGCAAAAGCTTGCCTGGTTTCTGACTGAAGAAATCCAATAATGCCTCATGCTTCCCATAATGGTAAAGTCCCAGGCACTGCCATTGTCCACACTCCCACACTGAGAAGTTTCCAAAGAGTATTATCGATTGTCAAGGAGAGACAAACCCGAACAAAGCCAGGCTGGGCTTACGGATAATCCAGTTTTCGCAGAAATTACAAAGCTATGATTTTTCCAGTAGTCATGTATGGATGTGAGAGTTAGACTACAAAGAAAACTGAGCGCCAAAGAATTGATGTTTCTGAACTGTGGTGTTGGAGAAGACTCTTGAGAGTCCCATGGACTGCAAGGAGATCCAACCAATCCATCCGAAAGGAAATCAGTCTTGAATATTCTTTGGAAGGACTGATGCTGAAGCTGAAACTCCAATACTTTGGCCACCTGATGCAAAGAACTGACTCATTGGAAAAGATCCTGATGCTGGGGAAGATTGAAGGCAGGAGGAGAAGGGGACGACAGAGGATGAGATGGCTGGAGGGCATCACTGACTCAACAGACATGAGTTTGAGTAAACTCTGGGAGTTAGTGATGGACAGGGAGGCCTGGCATACTGCAGTCCATGGTGTCGCAAAGAGTCGGACAGGACTGAGCGACTGAACTTTATTGAACTGAACCCAAAATTTAAAGGAGTAATGCCCCTTATGTGAACAGCTGAGGCATAAGAGTAGTGAGAAATGTTGTGGTGGTGCTAAGCAAAATGAATTTTGAGTCATTTATATATGTTGAAAATATTTGTGGTATATTTATTTTTAGGGAAAAAAATATATATATATAAAACTACAATAAGAAAACAACAATTCTACCATCATAGTAGGAGTTTGTAACACATTAAGTATAAAAGTTAGGAATTAATAGACAAGGAAACTGAAAAATTTTTTAAAGAATACAGAAGATATGAACCTTATCATTAAAAGATGGATTTTATGATGCATAAATCACCATAACAGTTGGTAAGAACTGTTGTTTTTTTTTTAATTCTAGGAAGGCTTTTGCTTTCTTCCTGTCTTTCTTCCTTCCTGCTTTCTTCCCTCCCACCCTTTTTTTCTCCCTCCCTTCCTCCCTCCTCTTCCTTCTTTTGACAGGAACCCTTTAAGTCATCCGACCTGCCTTAGAGTATCTGGTCAAGTATTTCAATATCACTTGATCTCTCCCATGACAAGTCCATGGAGACTCTTCCTGACGGCCATGGCACCACATCTGCTCTGGTTCTTGGCTTACTGTAGACCTACAGGAGGAGCTACATATGCTGTGAGATACTGAAGACATTCTGAACTCTGCACAAAGATGCTCAGTTCCTGACCCAAGTAAGAAGTGAACCAATCTCCCAAGTACATCTCATTATTTAAGACAAGGCCCATATTCTCTGGAATCTCATTTTCCCTCTCTGGTTCTTAGAGTGGCAAAGATCTAGCCATTCCTGCCCCATCTCTTCTAGTTTTCTTTCACGTCTCCTGTAAAGTTTCTCATCTCATGCCACCATCTACTTATAGACTCCAAGTGGTACCCACTCCTGCGAATGACAAAAAGCAATCCATCCTTGCACTTGTCATGACAAAACTCCTTATCTTATCTCCCTAGCAGAAGAGTTCAATCAAACCAAACATTAAAAATAAATTAATTATATTTTATCCCTCCCCAGAGATGGCTGAGCTACTAAGAGCCAGCAAAGTGTCCAGAAAGGAAAAACAAAACTCTCAACTGATTTATCCGATCTTTCATCCATCTCAAACCATCCCACTTTTAAGTCCTTCTATATTCTTATTGCTGGAGCTGGAACCAGCACTGATCAGGAAAATGGCTGAGAATGGAAACACAGATGAATAGACAAAGAAGATGCAGCATATATATATCTACAACAGAATACTACCCAACCATTAAAAAAAGAATGAAACAATACCACTTGCAGCAATAAATGCAGCTAGAGATTATCATGCTAAGTAAAGTAAGTGAGAAAGATAAATACCATGTGATATCACGCATATGTGGAACCTAAAATATGACACAAATGTGAAATGGAAACACACTCAGGGACATAAAGAGCAAACTTGAGGTTGCCAAGGGGGTCGGGGTTGGAGGAGCGATGGAGTGGGAGGGTGGGTTAACAGAATGGATAAACAACAAGGTCTCACTGTATAGCACAGGGAACTATATTCAGTATCCTATGATAAACCATAGCAAAAGAATATTAAAATGATATAATTTTAATAATAATGATCATATATATACGTATAACTGAATTATCTGCTATACAGCAGAACTTAACACAACGTTGTAAATCAACTATACTTCAAATAAAACAGTATTCAAAAAAATGGCAGCAGATGGCCAGGGCTTGGGTGACTGGGTGACAGAAACATTCCTGCAAATGTGTCCACATAATATTATTGTGTGACTAGCTTTTCTGAAGGCTAGGACACTCCAACACAAATCAAAGGAAGCACAAATTCAAAGATGACTATAATGGGACGTGTTTGCAGAGTGAAATATCCCTACTCTTATTAAGTGACACCTGCCACATAATAGCCCCTGACCCACACCTCAGTCTGCCCCAGGGTGATTTTTTTTTCTTCCCTAAGCATATGCCTCAAAGGAGTGGTGAGTAGGGCACTTACATTTTGTCTCCTGACTTCCTCTCTCAACCAAAGATAACCATAATCTGTAAAATGATTAATCTATTTGTCTCCATGGAGTTAGAAAAAAAGAAAGAAAGAAAGCTTCTTTCAAAGTTTTCCAGAAGGCTTCAAGATCACCAGTCCACATGCTGGCAGCCTAATCTCAGGCTTTGAACTTCCAGAACTGTAAGGAATAAAATTCTGTTGTTTATTTGAAAACAATAGTCCAAATCAGATACTCTTCTTCCAACCCATTTCATGAATGGGCTATGATAAAGTGGTCTATTAAATCCCTGGGTTATAATAAAGTGAAGACAAAGATTCACCCAGGAATATGGCAGTTTGAGAGGCAGGCTACTTTAGCACCCTGCGAAGCATTATTATTCCTAATAATACTTTTACATGGTGCTTCGTAAATGGACAAGTTGTTCTGCATAATATTACGGTCCAGGTTTTGGTTCAAGCAGTAAATAAATGACTGAGAAAACATGTATGACTTTGCCCTCTGCATTAACCGAATGAGGTAGGTGGGAAGAGTATTAGTCCCATTGCGAGCCTCAGAGAAGTGTAGGGACGTTGCGCAAAGTTTGTGAGCGGCAGGTAAAGCTAGAACTGCATTTTAAGACCACAAAGGAAGCACAGATCCTAATTTATCCTCTGCCACTGACATGAGGTTTGATCTCCACGAGAGAGCAATCTCATGGCCCTAGTGAATTTTTCGTCTGAAACCTATGCAAACTGGGCCCGACCACCAGTTTGGTCCTAGAGATAGCCCCCAAAGCGGGGCTGAACGCACAGGGTGGGTGACCAGGTCTGTGTCCCTAAGAGTTCCCCCGGGGTGGGGGTCCCAGACCTTTGCCTCAGAGACCCTGCCCAAAAAGGCTAGGGAACCAGTGGACTCTCTCATCTAGAGCAGGGCCCGGCCGCACCACCCCTGCCGGCTGGAATCCCAGGGACTTCCTTCGGACCTCGCCTGCGGTGGACTCCAGAGACGCAAAAGGAACTCCAAAGTCTCCAGCCAGTGTTAAACCTGAGGTGCCCTCTTCCTTGTCGGCATCTCTAGTGCTCACATATGTCAATGGCTTGATGTGTCCGCCGGGCCACTGCTACCCCGAGTTTGTGACCCCTGAGAGTGTGGCACGTAACTCAGCAACCGCCTGAGACTGCGCGGGGACACGGCGCTCCGGCGCCCCAGGACTCTGGGCGGTGAGTTCCAGCTGCGCCTGCGTGCCGGGCCTGCGTAGTGGGCGGAGAGGCGGGTGGATAGGGACCCTGCCAGGTGGGCGGGGCGACAGCTGGCTGAAACCCTGGCGCCGGGCGACTGTTCTAAACCACCCGGATCCCAAAGGCAGAGGCTGCTGGGCATCCTCCTTCACTAAGGGCAGCTGCGCACCCTTCGAGTCTGCAGAGTCTGTCGCTGGGGGACCAACCCATTCTTGGCGCCTTTACAGGCAGAATTTGAGGGGCGGGACCGGGAAGTGTGGGAGCATAGTGTCACTGCTCTAGGAGTGGCCCCTCTGTGACGCCAAGGAAGGACGTAAATGAGATACCGCTGCAGGTGTCGCGGTGCCCTTGCGCTCCTGCCCGAGGCCTGTGTGACATCACTGTGGCAGCGGGAGGATGCCCTGACGTCACAGCGTCATCATGCTCTGGGAGGTGGGGTGACGCCTCTGAGCCCTTTCTCAGGATGCCGAGGCTCCAGGGGACGGGGTGGGGATGATATCACAGTCCCAGGTTCTCGGAGATGAGGTGCCATCAAGGAGCCCTGCACCATCCCACTGCCTTTCTCCGTCCTCCAGGACCCTATGCTAGCCCTGAATCAGGAGACAAGGAGGTCAGCGGGTAAAAGGCCCTTCATGCGCCCCAAACCCCCTAGCTACATTCCAGAAGGAAGAGGTGGAACCTGAACCCGTCCTCTACGAAGAAGCCCCCTGAGGGCTGTTCTTTTCCCCAGGGCGCTCCTGATTCTCTTCCCAGAGCAGCACTAGGGGAGCTCCAGGCTGCACCAAGGGTCTCTAGTGCCTACTCTCTGCCCAGCAGCGAAGTCCAGCCGGGTAGTTTCCCCACCCCTGAGCTAAAGAGGACCTGCAGGCCTAGCAGCTTTGGGAAGGGTTCCAGTAGAACTCTACCAGCCCAAGCCGCGCTAGGCACGTGAGGCCAAAGGAAGCTTACTTCATGTCTGAAAATGGAGGGGTGGGGGGAGTGGGGGCAGGGTGGAATCTTCCAGATCTGTGGCAAGAAAAAATTAGCCATCTGCAGAGTGGACAGGCAATAAAACCCACCCAGCATTTCTAACCCTCTGGTTGCCTTTCATACGACCTTCAGAGTATGATCAGGAAATTGTAGCCTGTGTGGGAACTGGTGGCCCCAGGACCAGGCTTGCCCTTCCCTTTGCAGTTGCTGTTACTGATCAGTCTATGAAACCCCTGCCATGCGGACAGACTGCAAGCGAGCTGCGCTGAGAAGTGACTTCTGATTCCACCAGAATGACAGAGGCTTTAGGAACAGGTTGGAGGTCTCTGGGCAGCACTCTGCCCCTCTCTCACCTCATCCCCCAAAACTCTGCGCTTAGGGATTCTTTTTTTCCAAGAATGCACACTTCATACTGATTGTTTCTCCGTGGGCAGGGACTAGGGATGGAGGGCAGGGGCAGGGATTCACGGTACCAAAGCTGGAAGGGCCAGAAACAAAAATCTTCCCCAGCAATCCCCCACCCACCACCTTCAAGTCTTTGTGAAGTACTTGAGTTCCTGCAGAGGTTCTATGTATCCTGGGAAGGTTGGAAGTGGTGCAATGTGAGGGACAGGAGGGCAGCAGCAGTAATCAATCCTTGAGAAAGATGTGAGTGAAAGTTAGTAGCTCAGTCCTGTTGGACTCTTAGCGACCACATGGACTGTAGCCCACCAGGCTCTTCTGTCCATGGGATTCTCCAGGCAAGAATAGTGAAGTGGGTTGACATTCCCTTCTCCGTGAGAAAGATGAACACCCTCCCACCCCCACCCAAGGAGACTATAGGGACTGAATGAGGCTCTCTCAGGTCCTCAGAGGTACTCAAAGTTCTGGGTAGTGCCTGTGTGTGCGCGCGCACGCCCATGCACTGTCCTCACCTTGGAACAACCACTTCAAAGGTCTGATAAGGAAGGGACAAGGCTTCTGCCCTGGGCGCTTACACAAGCTGAGGCCAGGCACCACCTATACCACAGCCTGCGCTGCCTGGGCCCGAGCCAGCCGTCCAAGTCCCAAACCCACTGACTAGCCCTCGCTCCAGATGCCCAGAGGTCACAGTTCTCTGGGATATGGGCTCCATCCTTTCCTGTTGCGAGTCTTTTTGGACCCGAGGGTAAGAAGTCCTGGGATTTTGCTCTACTAGCGGAGATCTCATAGGCCGGTCCAGAACCGTCAGCGCTCTGTCCCCCTCGTTTCCATGGGGCCCTGGCACGCGCGTCAAGAAGGTTTTAAGGGCAAGACCAGACGCCGACAGGGCCTGCGGTGGAGGGTTCCTCAGGGCCTCGAGCAGGACAGAGCGAAGTGCCCGCATTCCTGGGCCGCCCCTCCAGGCCTGTCCAGCAGGGGGCAGCGTGGCTCCGAATGCCGACGGCTGCGTGGTCCTCGCGGTCCCGGCAAAGGCCTCGGTGATAAGTTGGGTTCTTGAATCGCGGAGATTCAGCCAGCCGAGGGCGGAGGGTGGGAGGGGGCGTTCCCAGCGGAGAAGGGGATGCCACAGTGAAAGGCTAGAGAACGTTTTAACTCCTGCAGACCCGGGCCCACTTTCTCAGACAGGATGGGATTGGGGGTGGGGGGAGTCCCAGTTGCCGGGAAGCTCGGCCCAGCTGTGCCCGCGGCCGCTGAGCGCCAGGCGCGGAAGCCCGAGAGCCTGCGCTTGAGCAGGCTGGGGAAGGGCCGGGAGCGCCACCGCCTGCGCCCGCCGCGCGATCAGGCTGCCGGAGCTGGGGGAGCCCCACCCCGCTCCAAGCTGGAGAGCCCCCCGGCGGCCTGGCCTCTAATTGTGAGAAAACTAGGCGCCCCAGGGAAGGTTCCACTTGTGGAGGGCGGACTCGGATTTCTCCTCCTCGACTCTCTGGGCCTCCCAGGGCGCCCGCCCCCGCCATTCCTGACAAGGCTTTAAAACTTCAGGGAAATCTTTGCGGGCACGGAGCCGGGATCCAGACTGGGGACAAGCCCCAGCCGGAGAATCGTGTCGGGGGGATCCTAACGGAGGGAGGGACGTAGGTTTGGGGACTTAGGAGAGGCAGCGGTGAAGACTTATTTGCAGCAGCTATTGGGCCCCCAGGAAGGGTACCGGTTTGAGGTTCACCGTGAGGGAAGGGCGCTTCCTTCCCTTCCCTGGGCAGCAGTAGGAGGCCCGGAAGGAGGTTTTTGTTTGGGGGTGGGGAGGGGTGACTTTCTTTTCCCTTAGTAGGATTCAAAGCGACCCGGCTCCTGGAGATACTGTAAGAAACGTTCGAAGTTTTGGCCGCAGACTCGGCTTCTTTGGAGCCCTTTGGAGATTCGGAGTGGGAAGACGATACTGAGGCCCCAAGACCAAAGTGGAGAAGAAAAGTAAATTAAGTTATCCGAGGTTGACCACCATCGGGAGAGAGGAGGGCGTCTCCACGCATCCCAAGCCACTGACCCCAATCTGGGGAAGGTTGCAGAATTGGGACAGGTCGGCGTGGGGATCGAAGCCCCGGCTCCTCTCAAGAAAAGGAGCTGCCCAGTTTGCTGCGTTTGGGGAGAAAACGCAGGAATTGGGGAAGGGAAATTACCCACCCTGCAATGCCTGTAAAATAACCGTTTATTTAATATTTTTAAAAACTCCAGTGATAAATGTCCGTTACCGATGGTCAGCATAAAGTGCCAATCGCAATACACCGCCCTGCTGCTAGCCTTCAGCTCCTCGCGGCGAAGGGGCAGCGGAGCAGGGAAGCCGGAGGCCGGGCCCCCCTCAGCCGCAGGGCCCGAGGCCCCCCGCCCCACCATCCGGGTCCGGGAGCCCACCACCCGCAGCGCGGCAGGAGCCGGGAGGGGCGCCCCTCGGCCCCGCGCTCCCTGGGCCGGAGGCTGAAGCAGATACTGGGATTACACTTTTGCAGGCTCCCGGGGGTGGGGATGGGGGCGGGAGGAGGGGTGGGAAGCTGCGAGAGCACAAATCTCCTTTTCCTCTCCCCTCTCTCTCCGCAGTCAGAGTTACAAGCTTATATGGTCAAAGAAAAAAAAATAATAAAGAAAACGTATAAAATAACAATAGAAAAAGTAATACTTCTGGGAGAGGCGCCGCTGCGGCTCCGCGAAGCTTTCGTTCTCTTTTTAATGCAGTTTCCCTTCCGCCACACGAGTACCGCCTTTTGGCCAAGAGTTTAGCCGCGTCCTGGGGGAGCCGCCCGGGCGGCCAGGGTCATGGCCCGGGGCGCGGCTGTGAAGTTCCGCGTGCGCCCGGGACCCGGGGGACGCGTTTGGGATGGAGGAAAGTCCCCGGAGCCCCTCTCGCTGCCCGCCAGAGTCGCCTTGGGCTTCCGTTCCCTCTGGAGGAGGGGGCTGCGTGACCCAGGGTCCTGGTGACTCACTCGGAGGCTCTATTTAGCATTTGATCTTGGAGGTTTTGAGCTCCTTCACCTGTGAGTGTAGCGTCTTGTGCACAGCGAGAGTCCTGGACTGGCAGAATCCTTTCCCACACTCTTGACACTTGAAAGGCTTCTCTTTGGAGTGAATATATCTGAAGGCAAAAAGCAGACCGATAATTAAGCTTTGCAAAAATGATGCAATGTTATAGTTATCCAAAATCCCTTCCCACGACAATAAGGAGCTTGAACCTCAAAAGAAGGAAGGACGTGGGGTACTTAGTGGAGAGCGGGCACATGCTGAGTGTGGGGAGGGGATGGGGAGATAAGGGAGACACCTCCTGTCTTAGCTGTGCCCATGTCCAGCTAGGTGGATCCCTGCCTGCCTGATCAGGGGCCAGCACAGCATCCTTATAAGGCCTGAGTCAACACCAAAGGTGAGTGAGGTGGGACAATTGGCTGGCACTGTGCTGTCCAAGATGGTAGCCACCTGCCACGTGTGATTATTAAAATTAAGTAAAGTTAGTTTCTCGGTTACACTTGTTGCCCATTTCAAGTGCTTAACTGTCACATGTGTCTCATGTCACACTTCATCATCTCAGAAACTTCTCTCACACAGCGTTATAGATGGAGGAAGCTGTGCATGCCTGTCTGGAGCTTGGGACCTGTTCCTGCCATATTCTCTCCACCCATGCTCCAGAAACCCAGCCCTGAGCTTGGGTGGTTTCCTTCCTGATTTAGGGGGAAGCTCAGAAATTCAGGAGGCTTGGAACCTGGGGGCGGCGGGGTTGGGGGGGGGAGCGGCCTTATGAACCCTGGCATCAGAAGCAGACTGATAGCTCTGTTCTGCACCCCTCCTCCGCAGTACTGCACCTGTGGTCTCGTAGGTGGTCTTGCCTCCGGAAGGCTTTGTGGCAGATGTCGCACGTGTAGGGCCTCTCGTCCGTGTGTGTCCGCTCGTGGATAAGGAGGTTGTAGGATTTAGTGAAGTGGCGGCCACAGAATTTGCAGACGAACTCCTTCTTGGTTTTGGAAGGCAGGCGTCCCCTCGTGGGCTTCTTTTCGGGGGACAGCTTGGTCACATCCAGGAGGGCGCCCAGCCCACCGGCAGGGGACCCAGGGCCCTCCCCCCGGCAAAGCTTTGATGGATCTTCTTGCGTGGCAGCCAAGGCCAGGTTGGCAAAATCAAAGCGCGGCTTGGTCTTGAGCGCCGCGGGGCCGCTGCCTCCAGCGGTGATCTCGGGCTTGGGCTGGATGACATGAGGGAACCAGGGGAAGGCAGGCAGCTGGAAACGCGCGTCCACCAGGCTGGACACGGCTCCCGGCACTTTGGAGAAAGAGGACCGCGGCAAGTGCATGGCGGGGTAGCCCAGCGTCCACTGATGCAGGTGCACTGCGTGCAGTGCGCTGAAACCATACAGGTTGGGCAGGTGGTCCGAGGGCACCGTTGGCAGGCCGTTCACTGCCTGAAGAAAGGAGTAGTTGGTGAGCTGCAGGGATGGGTGGATGGGCACCGGTGCTGGCAAGGTTTTGCTGCCCATGGCCGAAGCGGCAGTCTGTTCCCAGTCTTCCTGCTGCAGGAAAAGAAGAAGAGGGGAGGGGGAAACAGACAAGTTCAGGCCCTCCTTCTGAGTTCCAGCCCGGCCACACCCATTCTGTCCCCAGAGACTGAGCTGAGTGCCTAGGACCCCACTCAGGGATCTCACTGGCCTCAAGGAGAAGACAGGAATCTTCAGTAATCCAAGGACTCCTTCCAAATGGCCTCCGGCAGAGACACAAACTTGATATAGAAACCAAACTAAATGCTGGGCAATGCGATCAACTTAAAATGAGAGTCTACAGTGTACCTGACACTGAGACAGGCAGAAACACAGGGAATGTACATCCAGACAAGCCCGAGTCAATATAGAATTACACCCTCCTGCAAAGGTAACTCACTTGGAAGCGCACTTACATATTCCTGTTCAGATAAACAAATACAGACGTGCACACTGACAGATAAACCCAGGTTCACACATACTGAACAAAGTTGACAACAAGGTGCGAAGATAAACTGGAACCATGAGTATTGTGCTACTAAACAAAATGCAGGAACTGAACACACACACACACACACACAGGGTACCCACAGAGAGTCCTACAGGCAGACAGCAAATATACAAAAGCACACAAATCCGCACATCTCTCAGCTCCGGAGCATTGACCTCTATTAGCTGCCAGTCAATTTGGCTTCTAGAAACCATGTCCTCTTTCTCCTTACAACTCACAACTTTGACTTCAAATTTGCTTTCCTGTCTCACTGTTACCCAGCCCCCTTGACGCCACCCTCTCTGCAGCTGCTTGTGGACTGACTCTTTTCCATCGTCTTTGGGGATCACCTTTCAGCAAGGACAGTGACACCCACATTTATTTACTCACTCAGCCACATGCATTCATTTGTTCCTGCGCCCTCCCTACCCTATAAGAAAGGGGGACAGGGTCTTCGGGCTCTCAGGATGTTTGTGTGTGTTGAACACCCCCTCCCTGAGCAGGTGGGTTTCCCCATGAGCAGGAGCATGGAGGCTGGGCCTCTGCTATTGTGGGCTACGCACCCTCCAAATGCAAGGCCAGGGAGCTTGAGCCGAGCCAGAAGGGAGCCCTGCTGATGTGACAAGCAGTCTGGTGTCTCCTGGCCTCCTTGACCCTTGGTCAGGGTCCTTAGCCTCCATGGACAGGTCTGGAGTCCGCAGAAAGAATTTTTCTGTCTGTGCCTCCCAGACACTCCTAACTCATGTCTGTCCAGTGGAGGCAAAAACAGGGAGAAGGAAAGCCAAAATTACACGGAGGGCCTTAGGAGGCTCAAGTGCTGAACTCCATCTCAAGAAGTCACTGGGGAGCAGGGTGTTCAGGCCGCAGGCACTTCTTTGCCTGTCTCAATCCCCTGCCTTCCACTTCTCTCTTTACTGCTGACTTCCCCCGTCCCCTTCCTCAGATCTCTCCTCCACCTAGTCCCCAACCCTGGGACAGGCAGGCCCCTGTTCCGTTCCCTCCTTCACGACAGACCCGACACCACCCAGGCGGTTCCGAAAGCCTGGCTTCCCCAAAGCCCAGGTCCTTAAGGCGCAGGCTGCCTTTAGCTCCAGGGAAGCTGTTAACGTGAGGGCAGTGCCCAGGATATTCCCGGGAGGAGGCAGGACAATCTAGACCTAGAAAGCCTTCTCCTTGGAGGCTGGCAGGAAGGTCACGCATCCAGTGCGGTGGCCCATAGGCGAAGAGGCTCTGCAGAAGGTGCGGAACACCCAGAGCCGGCAGATATCTGCTTGCGCAGGTTAAATCGTCAATCCAATGAAACCCCTGTCGGACCGCAGCAATTAATTCCGCCAGGGTCTCGGCGAGGCACAAACTGGGATGCGGGGGCGGGGGAGCGCGGACCCCGGCGGCGGCGGAGCCGTGACCTGGGCAGCGGGCTTCTCCGCTGCGTCGCTCACGCTGTCGCGCCTGGGACAACCCGAGACCCTCCTAAGGCGCTGAGACGCGGCGAAGAAGAACGAATCGGGCCAGAGAGAAAGCTGGAGCCTGTTTGGGTTGGGAAGGGGGAGGGGGAGAAAGAGGAGATGACTCGCCGACTTCAAAGGTCTGCCCAGACTTAGGCGAGGTGAGCGCTCTTTGATTTGCTGTCACCTCTCCTTCCCCTCCAGGCGCTGGAAATCAGATCCTTATCTCCGGCTTCCCCCGGGGCCCTCCGGGCGCCGCCGGGGCCTCACTTGCTCCTCTCGGCGCTCGGTCTATCCCTGGACGATGGCGGCCGGGCGCTGGGCTGCACCCGGGCCCGGGCCCGCTCCCGGCGGGGTGAGGGAATCGCACCGGCCCCGCGCGTACTAACCCAGCCTTTCCTTGACCACCCCCAGGAGCCCAGACTTTGGCTCGGTGAGGGGAGGGGGCGCCTACACCAAAACTGCTCCTGGGAGCCAAACTTTCGGGGCTATCTGCCCGATCTTGTTTCCCCCAACACTCAATTTCTTTTTCTCAGCGGCGCAGCCAGTTTACTTTCTGCCGCATTCCCAGGGCAAGGCTCCCCAGGCTCTGGTCAACGGTTTTCCCGGGGACGAAATTCGTTCGAAACGTGGCTTTCTACACTAGTAAAGTACCAAGAATGGGCCGAATCCACGATCCAGTTTCAGGCGGTTCGCTAAGAGGAAAACATAAGTCTCACTCTGCCTCTCCTGCGGGAGAAGATGAGCAAACGCCCAGTCCCGGTGTCTCTCCGGGCCCTGACCCCGGACCCCCAGTGTGAACTGCTTTATATCCTTAAACAAGAGAGGAAACCCCTCTTGCCTGCCTCAGGCCAGGCATCCGCTCTGCAAGAAGCTAGGACCCCGGGACCTGGGAGGCGCAGTAAGGGTGCCGACTACGCGCATCAAACGCCATTAGCGCTTCCCAGCCCGGGTCCCCGCGCGGTTCAGACACAGCTTCTCTCGTGCGGTAGAGCGCCAATCCCGGTTCTGCCGCCAGCCCTATGCCGGGCATTAATGAAGTGTGCAAGAGTCTATTAAAGTGGTTTATTCGGGGCTAATTGAGCGTGAGCGAGTTAACTGCTTGCATTAATGAGGAAGGAGCGAGCTTCACGAGCGAGCGCCTGGAGGAGCCCAGCATCAGCCCCGGAAAAATCATCCTTGACACCGAATCCCCAACACGCGTGCTGACAAGCGTCCGGACCCCTGGAGAGAGGACTGACCGGCGCCGGACACTTCTGTTTAATTCTCCCAACGAACGAGATCGAATGAACCCTTCAGTTAGGCGGCCATCCCTCTGCATCTAAATGCCCAGCTGCGTCCTTAGTGATCTGCTCCCCAGTCTTACTAAAATCGCAATTACTTTGAGGAACCTCATATAGAACATTCACCCACCGGTCGCCCTCCATCCGTTCCTCCCGCCTCCCCCACCCCGCGTCCTTGCCAGCCTCTCTCTCTTCTCCAGGAGGCCATGAACCTGGGAGATTAACTAGCCTTGCACGTGGTTTCTGTTCCCAAGAGCCAGCGCGCAGCTCTTAGCCCGGGTGAAATTTACCAAATTGTGGCAACAAAGAAACCGTCGCAGCTCCTCTATGCTCCAAGAACCTACCCCGCGACTGGCCGAGCTGCTGAAAAGGGATTGGCTGTGGGTTTTCATTCCTCTTACGAGAGAAATTTCCTGGGAGAAATGAGTTCAGCAGGCAGCCCGTCACCTCTTTCCCTCTCTCCTCCCGCTCCCACCTTTTCCCTTGAAGGGAGACAGTCCCCGGAGCAAACGAATCTTGCCCTTTCAAGCCTGAAGCTGAGAACACCCGCGGCTGCAGTGTTTCCGCTACCGCGGCGTGCGGGGTCTCCGATTGGGGACTAGTGTTCGCGCCCCCTACATGCTCCCCTCCCCCGGGTCAGTCGCGGGTTACTCTCCAGGCCCCGACCACACGAGCAATCACCGAATAAAGAACACCCCGAAGTCGGAGCGCAAGTGCCAGACGGGGTCAGGCACGCGGGCTGGCACTCCAGGGTCGGGCCGGCCGCGTACCCGATCGCAACTCTGCAAAAAGACGAGCTCAGGAAAGCGCGACCCGGCGGGGGCATGCACCTGTCCGTGGCGCGGGCGGCCGTGGCCATCCGGCCACTCTCTTCTCCTCCTTCGTCAGCTAAAGTAGGTCAGATTGAGCTAGGCGTGCGTCTTGGGAAAGTTTGTGCCCGCACAAGTTGCTTCGGTTTCTTAAGAAAGGGGCCACAAGCTGACTTCCGAAGTCCGTGGGCACCTCGCCCGGGATTCCGCGAAGACCCGCGGCGCTCGGGGTAGTAGCGGGGACCCGCCCCCTCATCCCCCCCGGGTCAGAGGCCGAGGACCCCCGCAGGAGAAATTCCTGAGCCAAGCACCCCCAAGCACCCAGGACTGCAGCTGCTCTCGCTTTCACAGAGGTCCAGCAGTCTTCATTTGGTAAGAGGAGCTTCTTTCCGGGACTTGGAGAGAGAAGAGACACCCGCCGAGCGGTGACAAGGGGACCTCGGGGATCCTGCCCGCATTCCCCTCGCCAAGCCCGGGCGCCCAGGGCTGCAGTTACCTTTTTCCGCGGCGGTCCCGGAGTTGAGCGCGTCTCTGGGGCTCCCGCTGCGGGGGGACCCGGTTAGCCAGAGGCGCTGGATTTCCACAGGCACCCGCGGAACTGAAGAGTCCCGGCCCCTCTCCGGCGGCCGCGGGGACTCCGAGCGCCCGACACGCGGGAGCGCTCAGCGGCCCTGGAGTCCTGTCCGCCCAGGGGTTGGTGAACTTCTCTCGCGGCTCCTCGGTTGGGTCTGAACCCGGAGCGGCTGAGAAAGCGCTAGGGAGAGACCGAGCTCCGACTCACTTACCCCTTAGCACCGAGCCGCCTACTTATTTTAATCCACCACCCTCCCTCCTTCCTCCCTCCCTCCTCCCCCCTCCCCTAGCCTCAGGATTCCTCCCCTCCCTCCCCTGCCCCCCTCCCCGCAACCATCCTGCCCTGCGCCTGCGCACTGAGACACAAAGTTTTGCTGACCCGGGCAACCGACTGGGACTGCAGCGTTCGCCTGGTCCCGACCTCCCGGGACCTGCGTCCCCAGTTTTTCAGACCTGTGAGACCCTTTCTGCGTGTTAGGCCCACAAGGTCCCGGCAGGCGAGTTCGAATAAAACAGCCTCTTCCATATGAAACTGGGCTGAAACTTCTCGGTCCCCTTCCTGCGCACCTAGGACACAGCCCGCGCAAGGTCGGGGTGTTGGGGGGCGGGGGAGCGGTGCGTCGGGATCCTGGCACCTTAGTTTGGGCCCCGACACACCTCGGCCCCGCCGAATAGCCTGTCTTGTCCCAGAATACCTCTGGAACCGAACAGCTTCAGGACATCCGAGAATGCTCAGCGCCAAGGCGGTCACCCAGACTCCAGTGCCTATGACTGGCCCCAAACCCTGGGTTACCGAGTTCGTTAGAAAGATTAGAAGCGGAGGATGGAGCAAGAAGTCAAGATAGTTATTTTCCTAGGACCCAAAAACCTTTTGAGATTCATGCCCTCTAAAATCCTGTATTCTTTTGTTTTAGAAGGATGGATGAGAGTTTGGAGAGCTAAGTACCACAGAGCCGCGATGCAAGCTGCAAAGTTCTTCAGCTCTAGGGCCTTTGAGTCCAAGAGTCTGATTCAAGTGAAGTTTGAGATGAGAGTGAGGGTCAGGGTTTTCTGGCTGCTAGAAATTCTGTCTTCACTGCTTATGCTTTAGGGAGAGTACCAGTAACCCCTTGACTGCCTGGCTCCAAGAGCTGACCTCCAGCTGACCCCAGCCTAGTTCCCTCCCTGCCACCTCTCTGGAACAGCAGGCCCCGGGGTTCGGGAGGAGGGGCTGGTCTCCCAGGCTTGGGTGGATCCAAATTCGCACCTCTGTACTCCTGGGGTTTGCCCCTAAGGCTGCTGCTTAATGAGCCCCCTCCCCTAGCCCTGGAGACTGGACCCTGGCCTCTGTGGGTCTCTTGCATACTGGCACTGTCTCTGGAGACCTTTACAACTTCCATCTGCAAGTCTGCTTTGGCTTTCTTTTTAAAGGAGTCTTGGTTTCCTGACCCAGGAAAATGGTAGTGGAAATGCCCCCCAAAAGGAATAGTTGGAGGAGACCCTGGTCTTACCCTCAGGCCTTTAGAAACAGCCTGGCCTCCAGCCCCTAGATAGCTTTGACCTGGGCAGGGAGGAGGGCAAATGGGTGCAGTCTTTGCCACAAGGGAGACTGTACTTACCCCCTGCAGGTTAGTGTTAGAGTAAGGAACCCATGTAAGTTTGCCTGTGCAGCTGGAAAAATCCTAGCCTGGGGTGACATTCTGGCCCTTTGGAGGCCCCTTGGGAACAGAAGGAGCTGAGATCACTCCCTTCCCTGAGATTCCAAGGCAGCAAGTTCCAGGAGCAAAGGAAGGCCTGGAGGGAAAGTCCAGCAGGGCATTCCTGGGTTGTACCAGCTTCCACCTTGGGCCAGGGAAACTGTGCCCTTGTCTCAGGGTGTCCTAGGAGACACAGCTTAGCACCTTCTATTAAACAACAGTGAAAGAATCCAAAGAGGCCTCCACAATGAGGCATCTGGCTGTCCAGACCACTTAGAAAATGTCTCCCAGGAAGAGGATGTTTTGGTAGGATGGAAGGAGCCTCCTGGCATGTACAAACCCCATCTCTTGCTCAGAACTCCACCCAGTGCAACTGTGCTGACTTCATCTTTCCACTTGCCTCTTTCTTCTGAACCAGGGTCCCTGGCAAACATGCCTCAAAGACTTCTAGAAATCTCTAGGTAGTAGAATCCTTAAAGAGCTCTTGGAGAAAGTTTTTAGGGCTCCAAAAGAAAGGGCCATGCAACCCCGTTGTTTAATACTGCTTTTGCCTGGTTATCTGGAAAATTGATCCCCACTCAGGTCAAATTCCACAACTAATAGCTGGTATGAAGGAAGTTGGGGCTGCAGGGCTAGAGCTGTCTGTCTTAGCTGAGCATCTCAGGCTTTGCCTCTCAAGCTGCCTTGTCTGGAGCTGATCTGCAGGGTAGGACAGGACAAGATGAGACAGATGCAGGACATTGGCATTACCCAGCCTTGCCTCTGTTTCAGACACCTGGCTTCAACGACATTCTTTCTAGGTCTTGGACTGTGAACAGCCCCAGAAGACTAGAATAACGAAATTCAAGATTTGATAGTTGCTGGAGAGTCCCCCATCTCAATCCAAGCTCCCAAGGGGATGACCCCCGCAAACCCTGGCTTCAGTCCCCAGTGGAGACCAACCAGATTCTAGTTCCCTCTGGATGGAAGGAAGAAACCTTGGAAGTTAAGAACCCCTCACCTCTCTGTGCCATGGGAACAAAGGGGGTTCCCCTTACCCACCTATTAAGAGAAATTGATCCGACTAAACTGAGTCTAGGTACCCTCGCGGTGTCTGGACTGCAGTGTGGGTAGATTGAGGAGAACAGGGCTACCAGGTAGGTTGCTTTTCAACTAAGACAGATTCATTTAAAACTCGCAAGGACATCATGGTTGCAGTGTGGTCAACGTCCTCGGTATTCGGGCGGGACTCAACCACCCTCTGGCCCCCCGAAGCCCAGTGAAGGTGGAGAAACTCGTCTCTGGACGCCCAAGCCATTCGGGGCGTCCCGCGCAGGGTGCCCCGCTGTGGCTGTAGCCTCTACACGCTTACAGCCCGCGGGCTTCAGCCAGGGACCAGAGCAGGTTCAAATTCCGCCGCCACTGTTTGTTTCTGGTTCGCTCACCCACCACCAGCCCCGCGCAACCTCGGGCACCCGAGTCTGGGCCGGAGCAAGCCCTGGGGAAATGGCCCCACAGTAACAACCGGGCCTCCAGCTCAGCTCCGGGCTTCTCTGCCAGTGCCGATGGGGTCCAGCAGGGAGCGATACCCAAGCCGGCACGTGGCACCGGATCGTGGACCGCCCTGCGCCGCGTTCCGAAGCGAGCCCTCGCCGCGCCAATACTGGGTGTAAGGTGGGTGGCGACAGCCTCTGCCAGACACCCCGCCCCAACCCCAGACCCTCTTCCGACTCCTGCTCACTAGGAAGGAAATGCGCCAGCCTGTCTTCAAAGTGAAAATTGAGCAGCTTCCAGAAAATTAACTAGAAGGTAGCTTATTTTGCTTTGGGGGGCGGGGATTGGATTTTAAAAAATGAACCCCACCTCTCCTCACTTCCCAACCACACAAAAATGACCTCTTTTTTAAAAAAAAAAAAAAAATGGAATTTATTTAGTAATTGCGAGCTTTTGCTTCCAACGCAAGCTTTCCTGTAACTACTTTGTGGACGATCGGGGGTCTGCTCATTTGACCCCCCTTTAAGCATGTACAGAGTTTTCAAATAACCAGGAGATTTAGGTATCCCTCTGTAATCATTTAGATGATGGATTGTAATGGCTCAATAGTTCCTCTGGAACCATTACGATCAATCAGGTCAAAATCCAGCTTGGGGGGGAAAGTATTTAACCACGGGGAGGTAGGCAACAGGACTTCCACACACACTTGCGCAGATAACACGCTCTGATAAGGTACAAGCAACTCCAGGGTCTTAGGAGAATAGATCACAGGTGAACCCACGACCCGGTGTTTACTGTAACAGCGGCAGACAAGTTACAGTATCAAAACTGAAAGGGAAACTGAACTGTTTTTCCAGGCAGTTTCCCGTTTCCTAAGCGCTTTATGAGCCCATAAGTATCTTGTTACTATTTGTCACCTTACTAAATAAAACAATTCCTGTATGCATACATCTATCCTTGGTTTATTATGAGAAGATGTACGAAGCACGGATATTCATGTGGAATTGCATGAACTCCGGGCAGACTATCCCCGGAAAATGGAATGAAAATCACGCCTTAAATTGGGAAAATCAGACGTTAAATGTGAGCATACATTGTGGGGAGTTTTTTCTTACTTTGTGTACAAGTATGAGTTGTCAGAATTATTTTCGACGGATCTAAGATTATAGCATTTTCTTTTTATCTAAAGGTGAAAATAAATGTATTGGAAACGACGCAGTGTCTAACTAAACTGTAGTTGATGAAAAAAAAAGTTATCTTAACTGAATCGCGTATAGTCAGGGGGACTATTCCCTGCGGACAGAAATACCTTACTGTACCCGCGGCTCTGTGACTCTGACGGGCTTCATAGGCGGCGGTCGGCGCTGGAGGAATGCGCGTTCGCGGTAATTAATTTCCAGACACTGGAGGGTTATTATCTGCATAGCGATTTCCGGCGAGGGAATTCGGGGCAAGTCTGGCTGCGATGTTCTACCAAGAGACGTGGGGACCGTAATCGTAAAGAAAACGCGCCACCTGCTGGTGAGCAAGTGACATCTCCTGGCCCCCCTTCCTGGAAAAGTCTAAAATCCAGTTGTCTCCAGAGTGGGTTTCACCGGCAACCTCCTTAAATGTTCTTTTCAGAGTTACGAAATTTACCTTGTTTAAAACTACACACGTTCTTGCCCTTCCAAAGAACAAAATTTCTGTTTTTCCTGCTCCAGGTTTATGAGGGTTTTTTTGTTTGTTTTGATTTAAGAGTTTGAAATACTTAGCAACTAACTATATGCCACCATTGATTTCTGGTCCTGGGAAAAACGATGAACCAGGATCTACTGTGAAAGTTTTATGCACTCTCAGAGCTGGGTTCGTGCTAGGTCACAGATAACTCCTTGGGGCCACTTCCTCCCTCCCCGCCCTCCCTCCTCAGCTCAAGGTGCTTCTGGACCAGGCCCCTCCCAGGACTCCCAGTCCAGCTTTCTGAAGAACCCAAGGAAGATGATGAGGAGCTGCTTATGAAACAAACCAAGTCTCCTGCCCTCACCTTCCTCCCAGGCCACTGGATTCCAGGTCCCTTTCCTTCCTGG